AGCCATTTGTCTGAAAAGGTATAGGGTTTCCTGCCTAGGCAGGGGGCTGGACTAGAAGACCTCCAAGGTCCCTTCCAACTCTGCTATTGTATTGTATTAAGGATTAGCAATGAGTGCAAACCAAGCCCTGGTTTAAATCTACTCACTAATCAGGTTTTAAATTTAGGAACATGACCGGCTCATCCCGATCTTTTTGGCTCTGGCAGGTTGCAGTGGAAACTGGTAGAGAAGCAGCAGGAATGTCAACGGCTCCTACAAGAGGCCCTAAAGATCATGGAACAGGACAGCTGGGCTCTGAGAAGGCCACAGATAATAGGTGAGGTTTCGGATAGCAGCAAGTTCAGCCTGGAACCAGTGGCTGAGAGTAACATTTCTGCATCAGTGAATTCTATTCATGCGCCTAGCAAAGTTGGAGTGGAACTTGAAGTGTGTTGTGGGAATTCCATATCTCTATATATAAAAGTGTGTGTGTGTGCGTGTGTGTGTGTTTTAGCATAACTCTGGAACGCCTTGAGCAATTTCAACCAAACTTGGTACACAGATGACTTACTCTCTGGAAACAAATACTGTAGGGATAAGACACCCCTAACATCCCTCAGGATGTGTGTTCTGTTATGATACAGCCTATTGTGCCTTAAAATGGCTTCTAGTGTACTGCCGTAAAATGGCTTCTACTGTATGGCGCAGTGGAGTTGCCATGGTAGTGGCTTCACAGTACTCCACAAGGGGGCTTCTTCTGGTAAGGGGGGGAAATCCAACAATAGAAATTACGTTTGGTCTGGACATTTTCCCACTATCAATAAATACCCGGACAACACCGGGTTATCAGCTACTATTTAATATTATCTATTGATAGTATTAAAGTTAGAATTCAGTAGCAAAGGTGAGAGGTCTACATGTGATTCTCAAATCCTTGAGCAGAAGAACCAAAAGCTTCTCTTTCAAGTTGTCTGCTTTGAGGATCCTATTTAGCTTAGTGCAACATGCAGTCCACAGATACTGAGGTTTGACCATCTGAAGCAAGGAATTGTGGGGAACCTGTGGAGTGTAGTTTCAGGGAACAAGGTGGAGCTTTGATTTGGTTCTTTTTCCATCTGCCTTTCTAGAAATCCCTCCTTCTCCAACTTCCTGGGACCAAGAAGAAAATGCTGGAGATCCCCACCTGGCAGAGTGGTTAGAGAAACAGGGCGCAGACAAAGCCACAGTGTCAGTGGTAGGTCTGATTCAGCAGCAGGTGGTGGTATCAACATCTGCCCCTACTTCAGGAAGGGGGGGGGAGAAAAGATGGCCACTCTAGGCTAAACTTTGTCTTCTCAAACAAAAGGCCACTCTAGCCTCAAAGTAGCAGTAGAAAACTCGCCTTAACAAATACCCACATTGAGAGGCAGAGCTTCTGTTTTCCTGGATGAGTGCCATAATGGTTAGAGTAGACAAAGACCAGGGGAGGCCTGCACTCAAGACTCCATTCAATTGTGGAGTTCGCTAAGATGACTTGGGGCCCTTCCTCCTCTCTTGTTTGTCATTCCACTTGTTTGGCAAGGTGATGGAACGTGGTGGGTTTTAAGAATCAATCGGGCAAAAGAAATTCCACGTCCAACACTTGAGCTTGCAGGAAACCTGGGATGGAAATCAAGCCAGGCCTTGAAATTATCCTCTTCTCTTAAAAGTTCTGCTACCATGGATTCACCCTGAATGATTTGCTGAAGTTGGCTACCATCGATGATCTCCGATACACCTGCATCAGGTAAGGTGGATAAATGGCAATCATCTCAGGACCAGCATGTAATTTTGTCTGATAAGCAAGGCTCCAAAGAGAGTTTCATATTTTTTTTTAATGATTTGAAATCCTGAAAAGTTTGGGTACTATCATTATGCATGTTAAGATTTAAGTATCCTCCCACTCATCATGCAGATGCCAGCTGCACCTGCCTGCAGATCACTTGGTATTATCCTTGGCACCAATGTGAGTTCTGATTACTACGGGGAAAAAAATGCATATTTAAGTGTCTCTAACATTTCAAAGAGGGTGTTGTTTCTCCCTTATTTGGGAGCTCCTGGGGATTGATCTTGTGATCCTGCAATAATAGAATTTTTTTTAAAGAAATTGCAAAGCCAATTAATTCCTCTAAAAGCCCCCTGCATATCAATAAGGAGGAAGCACAGGAAGCTGCCTTTTGTTCTGTTGGATGTTACCTACCCAAAAAATGTTCATTTCCACAGCCATAGAGATGCCGGTTGTTTAATCGGTTGTCTTCTCTTTGCAGAGGGGGAATGGTGTGCCGTATCTGGAAAGCCATCATGGACCACCGACAAAACCTGTCCCAGCAGCAGTTACACCAGCAACCGTGAGAAGAGGAAAGGATGGAAGCCTCAGATTTTTGGGGGGCAAGACCACAATCTCTGGTCGCCTGTCCCATCTTCTCACCAGCAGTTGAGCTATGAGGCTGGAAAGATTTTCTAATTGGTCAGTCCTCATATTGAGGTCAGATACTGGCCTTTTAATCTTTCCTTGGCCCAGGAAAATGACCAATTTTTTTTAGTAAACAGATTTGGGGAGAACCTCACAGAGGCTGTGAGAAAGACTTTCTGCTAAATTGAGCAATATGCATCGTGGACTGAGAAAAAGCAGAAGAACGTGTTCTTGCTGTAATTCCCCCCCCAAAAAGGACTGAAGAATGTTGTGATACTCTACTGTTATTTAGAGAGAGGCTGCTCCGGGATCAGCAGTTCTCTGTTGGAGCCTCACCTTGGCTACTGAGATCAATTTGCCGATTTTGCTCTACGTCTCCTCCCCTCTTCCAAGCCTGCCGTCTCTAGCACAAACCCAGCAATGCAACTGTAGGAGATGGGGGTGTGTTAGTGAGAGACCCTGCGAGCCAGGTTCTGAGGGACCTATAGAAAGTAAAGAGGACTTAATGGGGCTGCTTACGTTTCTCTGGATCGCTACCAGGAACGAAGGTGGGGTGTGCAGAGAAAGTTTAATAAAAACGGTTATTTAAAAATATAGCATGATTCATTGACCATGTGCATGGAGGATACTGGAAATGGGCAAAGGTCACCATAAGGCAGTTTATTTCCTTGAAATAAAGTGGGCATTCTGGTCATCCCAGTGTGGAGGTTTTTCACAAGAGTTGTGTAGAAGCCACACAATGTTCTCCTTAAGTCGGTAAGAGGAGGCAGACTTCACATATCAACACAGTTATTATTCTGCCTTTGTCCCAGGGGGCCTTATCTCTTCTCAGCATCAGGAACCTGATCCTAGGAAAAAAAACCTCTCAAAACCAAGGAGGCTGTAATGAGGGCCTCCTTAAGGTTAGAGTCATCAATTTGCCACCAGACTGATTCTTCCTGATAGCAGAGGAATCCTCAGCCAAAAGCTAGGATGAAGTCCTTGAAGTTAGGTTGGTCCTCAAGGGAAGAGTAGCTTCCACCCACTGTTGAGGTTGTTGGAATACCATCTCCCAGGTGTGGCGCTCTTCCTCTGTTGAATCCATCCATGTGACTGGTAAACCATAGCTGTTTCCTGCATTAAAAGCGCAGTCTTGTCAGATATATTTGACAAGCAAAAGGCAGCAGGATATTTTGCAGGCAAGTTATCTGATTTCTAAAACAAATTCTCTAGATGAGAACTAGTAGAACACAATACAGAATGTCATGGTTACGCCTAGGATCAGGGCGTACAATGGTTCCACCACAAAACCGCAGAGGACAAAATCGCGCTCGACAAAAGCGTGCATTTGACGTCATCACAGCGCGACGAAAACATCGCGCTGTGATCGAAAAATGTAAAAATAAA